AGAGATCTGCCTGCCTCTGCCTCCCAAGTGCTGAGATTAAAGGCGTGCGCCACCATCACCCGGCTCCTCACCTCTTTTTCACAGGAAACAGGGACATAGCGTGCATTGGTGACGGTGAGCTCCTCACTCCCTGGACCTGCTCGACGAATCTCACACTCGCCCCCTTGCCCCTTCCGGGTCCCAGTGGCTAGCAGGTCTCGGACGGTCTCATTGTAGATCTCTACGTAACTTGCCACAAAACTGTATGTCCAGCCCTGGCCACCCATCTCCTGGGCCACGGAGAATAGATGCCGCAGGGCCCGAGGGATCAGCCCCTCCAGTTGGGGGTCTCCCCCAGGCCCACCCTCCATAGTGAAGGTCTTGCCACTGCCTGTCTGTCCATAGGCAAAGATACACACAGGGTAGCCATCCAGTGCTGACTGGACAAGCATGGAGATCTCCTCAAATACTTCCTCCTGCTTGCTTCCTGGTGGGAATACCCGATCAAAGGAGAAATCATGGCGGGTAGTGGGTGCTGGTGCCCCAGTCAGGGTGGCACGTCGATCATCAGACCGTGAGACGCTAAGGTGGGTAGGGGGATCAGAGGGTCCAGCAGGGCCATGGGGAAATAGGAGGAAGCCAGGGGATGGAGTAGGCTCCCCTGCAAGGACAGGGCGCACCCGGCAGAATACCCGGATATTGCCCTTGAGTTCCTGCAACTGGTTGTGGAGTCGACGGCGCTCCATCTCCAGGCCATGTAGCCGGTCTCCTTGTTCAGCCAGTAAGGTCACCTGGGCTGCGGTCTTCTGCCGCAGAGACACCACCTCTGCTTCGCTACTTGACAGAGCGGTTTCTGAGGCCTGTAACCTCCTCTACCCAGAGCAGAGGAACAAAGGTGGGGTACAAATAGTAATTAGAACAAGGATTATGCCAAAATGGGGTAGGTCTCTTGTTACATGGTTGTCACAGTCCGGTAAAAAGGTAAGAAAGCCAGGCGGTGGTGGTGCACACCTTTAATTCCAACACTGGGAGGCAGAGGCAGGCAGATCTCTGTGAGTTTGAGGCCAGCCTGGTCTACAAGAGCTAGTTCCAGGACAGGCTCTAAAACTAGAGAAACCCTGTCTTGAAAAACAAAAATAAAATAAAATAAAATGCAGAAAGAAAATGGGTGTAGGGGCTGGAGAGATGGCTCAGAGGTTAAGAGCACTGACTGCTCTTCCAGAGGTCCTGAGTTCAATTCCCAGCAACCACATGGTTCACAACCATCTGTACTGAAATCTGGAGCCCTCCTCTGGCGTGCGGGCATACATCGAGGCAAAATGTTGTATACATAATAAATAAATCTTAAAAAAAAAAAAGAAAATGGGTGTAGAGCTGCTTGGACTACAGAGATCGCTCAGTGAATAAAAGCATCAGTGTGAAAGCCCTGAGTTGACACTCCCAGCATGGAAGAGAAGCTGGGCATGGCTCCATGTACCTATAATCCCAGCTCTGGGGAGCTGAGATGGGCAGATCTGGGACCCTACTGGCTAGCCCAGCCAAAACAGTGAGCTTCAGGTTCAGTGTTCAATTGCTGCCAAAAAGAGAAAGAAAGAAAAGAAGGTGCGGAGCCCCAGCACTAGGATAAGGAGTGTGAAGGGCTGGCCAGGAAGACACCAGAGTGCTATCAGAAGTGCCAGGCGTCGGCCTCGAGTCATTAGAGACAGTAGTGCCAGCTAACTGGAGCTCCAGACTGCATGGGCACGGGAAGAGGGAGAAATGCCCGAGATGTGAGCAGGTAGCCTAAGGAGATGGAAGGCCTCCTGAGGTTTCTGGGAGCCTGAGGAGGGGAGGGAGGCAGCACTGTGAGAGTCCAGCCCTTACCTCTTGCTCCTCCAGGCGGGTGGCCAGTGCCTTCTGTTCCTCCTGCAACTCCAGCTTTTCTTTCTGGAGCTCCTGAACCAATCTCTCCTTGGTACCCAGGCATTCCTCCAGCTCCAACACACGGGCACACAGAGTCTCTAGCTTCTGCTGGCTTTGCTCAGCCTGGGTCCGAACACTGGCCAGCTCCCCTGCCAGGGTGTTCCGCTCTGTCCCCAGCACTGTGGCCTGCTCTTGGGCTTCTTTGAGTTGCTCCCGAAGCCCCTGGTTCTCCTGGTCCAACTTCTGAGTCTTCTCCCGATAGCGTTTCAGCTCTTCATTGAGGTCACATAGCTGGCCCTTCAAGTCCCAGGCAGGACGTTTACCAGGTCTCTTCCCTGCCACCATTGGGGCAGCTGATGCTGACAAGGCACAGAAGAGGTATGGGTCAGGAGTCTGCCTCTACCCGCAGGCCTCTAGACCTCACACCACATCCATCTCTCTCTTCTCCAGACAGGAAGGCAGCAGATCTTTTCTGGGCACTCACCACCTCAGCTTCCCATCCCAGCCTCTCACCCAATGTTTATGTGTCACCTACTGCCAGGCTTCTGGGCAGGAGCAGCAGGAGCGGCCTTCGGGTTCTTCAGCACTAGAGAATTAGAGTTGACATGGAATCATAGGTTGGACTTGCTAGGACACACCTGAGAGGTCAAGGCTGGAGAATTGCCAGTTCAAGGTCAACCTGAGCTCTAGTGAGACTCTAACGAATAAGCACAAAGGCTGAGCAGTAGAGAGCAATGATGCTCTCTCTCTCTCAGAGAACCCAGGCTTGGTTTCCATCGTCCCTGTCAGGAGACTCAGAACCGTCTGTAACTCTAGCTCCTAAGGATTCAACACCTCTGTGCACATACCTGCTTATACACATAAAGTAAAATTAAAAAAATAATAGATCTTAAAAAGAAGCCCAAGGGTTGTGTGTGATGTGACTTCATGGTGGAGCACTTCCTGACATGTGCAAGGCCCTGACTTGCTCCCCAACACCACCCCTCCCCTACAGGAAAGACTTGCAGGACCAGAGCTCTTCAGCAGCCCCTCTCCCTCACAGGGACCCAAACCCCTGGTCAGCCCCCCCTTACGCACTATTACCTGAAGCAACAGTAGCACAACCACGAGGTCCTGTCTTCTTAGGGCCTTTCTGAGCTGTCCAAGGATGCAAAAGAGGAAAAAGTACAACACCCACTGCTGTGGGACTCCATCAGACAACAGCCTGCCAGACACCGGCCCATGGTGGGCACGGGCTCATGCACTCTAGTGCAGATGAAAACTGTGCAGCCCCTTTCTGCTGGATTCTGGTCCCGTTCCCAGCGCACTCAGAGGACTGCGGATTGCTGCTCTTACTGTGAGTTTGTCCCCAGGTAAATAAACCTTTGCTATTGCTATTCTCCATTCTGGGCTATTGTGGAACTCTTCAATACGGCTACAGCCCACTCTTGGGTAGCATACAGATACGTATCTCCAGGGTTAGAGAGAACTCTCCTCGTTCTGTGAGTCTCCAGCCAGCTTCTAATGTCCCTTGTAGGACCAGACACCACTCACTATTATCAAAGCTCAGCCAGTAAAGAGTAGGCAGAGCGATGCACGCAGTAGCTGCTACTCTTCGTGTGTGCGTTCATAGCGTGTCTCCCCAGACTCTTCCCAGAGAGAACGGCTACCCCTGAAGAGCTAGACTTCGGAGAAGAACTTCACTTAACAACCTTTGTGCCTTTGAAATTCTGAGCCAAGTGAAAAGTTAGTATTGACTCAAACTAGATAAAATTTGGAAGAAAAAAGAGAGCGGCTCATGCCTCACTCTTGGTCCCACCCACCCAGAACCCACCTGCAGTAGGGCCCTGTGTCTGTGACACTGTGCTGGGCACTGCTCCTCTGGGGCGGGATGTGTCAATTTTAGTCACTGCACCCAGGCCTCGTGTCCGTTTCTGGGGAGAGATAAGGATGGGGTTCCACAGTGACCTGTCCTTGTCCCTCCCCCCTTTCTTACTCTCTGCTCTCCAAATACATCTCACCTTTGCAGGTTCCAAGGCATCCTCCATCTGGTCAGGACCCCTCTTGAGTTTGCTTCCTGGAAGGGGCAGTCGGGAGGAGGCCTTGACCAGGGTTGTCTTCAGCTCGAAGTTCCTCTTCACTTCCAACAAAGGGGGTCTCTGTTAGAAAAAGAGGCTCTTAAACCAGGACCAAGCTGGGCATGGTGGCACATGGGAGGCAGAGGCAGGCGGTTCTCTGAATCTGAGGCCAGCTTTGTCTACAGAACAAGTTCCAGGACTGCCAGGACTAGGCAGAGAAACTCTGTTCTAGAAAATCAAAACAAAAGACAGGGTCAAAGCCCATAAACTCCTCTTCTTTGGAGCCCCCCAACCTTAATTTTCATTCTTGACTATCAGCAAGCATTAACTGAGTTGGGCTGTATGCCAGTTACACAGTGCAAAGGGATGGCGAGCATACGAGGAGTGGGGCTACCTGCAGGGGGAGCTAGAGGGAGCTGCCACAGCTACAGACGATATCCTGGAAGACAGGCAGACTAACACACAGTACAGCCAGGAAGCCAGCAGGCCTTTCTAGTTAAAGCTGGGACCATACAGTAAAGGAGAGCCAGAGTGCCATTTTAAATGCGTCCTCTCTAGGCACCACTATCAACTACTTAATTCTGCAAACGGGGGAAGGCAGACACCAACTAGTGGAGGTTGTTAGACCCCTCAGACTGCTGTTAGCCACCATGTGGATGGTAGGAATTGAACTCAGGTCCTCTGCAAGCCAAGTGTGCTAAGCCATCTCACCAGCCCCTCAGCTTGCTCTCTTATACATCCGTGGCCTTATGTATCACCACCTGTCTAATGATGGCGCCACCCATAGTGCAGTCTTCCCACACCAACATAAATCAGGACAACTCCCCAGCTAAAGTTTCCACCACTCAAGTCCAATTGGATCAAAGACCTCAACATACAGCCAGCCACACTGAACTTTATAGAAGAGAAAGTGGGAAGTACACTTGAACGCATTGGCACAGGGAACCACTTCCTAAATATAACCCCAGCAGCACAGACACTGAAAGTAATAATGAAAAAATGGGACCTCCTGAAACTGAAAAGCTTCTGTAAAGCAAAGGACATGGTCAACAAGACAAAACGACAACCTACAGAATGAGAAAAGATTTTCACTAACCTCACATCAGACAGTGATCTGATCTCCAAAATATACAAAGAACCCAAGAAATTGATCAACAAAAGATCACATAATCCAATTAAAAAAATGGAGTACAGACCTAAACAGAGAACTCTCAACAGAGGAATCTAAAATGGCTGAAAGACACTTAAGGAAATGTTTAACATCCTTAGTCATCAGAGAAATGCAAATCAAAACAACTCTGAGATTCCATCTTACACCTCTAAGAATGGCCAAGATCAAAAACACTGATGACAACTTATGCTGGAGAGGTTGTGGGGTAAAGGGAACACTTCTGCATTGCTAGTGGGAATGCAGGCTGGCACAACCCCTTTGGATGTCAATGTGGCGATTTCTCAGAAAATTAGGAAACAACCTTCCTCAAGACCCAATAATACCACTTTTGGGTACACATCCAAAGGATGCTCAATCGTGTTACAAGGACATGTGCTCAACTATGTTCATAGCAGCTTTGTTTGTCATAGCCAGAACCTGGAAACAACCTCAATGTCCCTCAAAGAATAGCTAAAAAAAAAAAATGTACAGTACATTTACACAATGGAGTACTACACAGCAGAAAATAATAACGACAGCTTGAATTTTGCAGGAACATGGATGGAGCTAGAAAACATTATTTTGAGTGAGGTAACCCAGACACAGAAAGACAGTTATCACATGTACTCACTCATAGGTGGTTTTTAAACACAAAGCAAAGAAAGCCAGCCTACAAACCACAATCCCAGAGAACTTAGGGAACAATGCGGACACTAAGAGAGACTTACATAGATCTAATCTACATGGGAAGGAGAAAGTAGAAAAATACAGATCTCTCATGAATGAACTGGGAGCATGGGGACCTTGGGGGAGGATTGGAGGAGGAAGGGGAGAGGCAGGGAGGAGAGCAGAGAAAAATGTAGAGCTCAATAAATATGGAATAAAATAATAATAATAAAGTTTCCACCACACATGTTGTTCTCAGGATCCATTTCAGGTAGTCAAGCTTGGCAACAAGCGCCCTACCTCTCACCAGCCCTTTAAGGTACAGTCGGACGCAGTCTTAAGGATGAACAGTTTGGGCACATGGAATAATAGCACTGTCCTGTTCAGGTCAATGGGACACCAGAAAGGGAGGAGGAAGCCTGCCAGAGGGAAGGAACTGCTGGCTGGTGTTGTGATGACAAGTCTGGACGCTCAGGGGAAGAGGCACTGTGAGGATCTGGAGTCAGGAGAACTGAACTGTGGATCACACGTAGGAGCACTCTCTGACCCTAGCACTCAGGTAACTGGGACAATAGGGTCATAAGTTGGAGGCTGGCTTGGCTGGACTACAAGCAAGATCTTGTGGGGAGAACAACAAAAAAAAAAAAAAAAAAAACAAAACTGAGCACTTGAAAATGAATAGAGATAGGAGAGAGAAGATGCCTAGCATCCCATGCAGAGACTGTATTATCCATCCACAGGGGCTGCTAACATCTGCCTCTGGCAGACACCGAGGAGTGGTGCACCCCAAGTCCGTGCCTTCTCTGTGCATATTTTCTAGGGTAACTGCCAAACTCTTGAATCGTACTGAGTGCCTGGGACAGAACCTACTCACTGCATCACTAGATGCATCACCTAGTGACTAAGTGCAAAGGATGCCTTTGGGTACCAGGGCTGCACGCTGATGGGACTCAGTGAAACTGTTTCCAGGGTCTGAGCACTGAACACAAGTCCCTGGGGAAAAGCAGGTGAGCATTAACAAAGCTGGCGGAAGCCAGTGTTGGTGTGATTAGGAACTGGCTAGGTTTGGGTGCGCAGGAGCTAACATAGTCTAAACTAACCCCAGGGTGCCAACTACAGTTCATTACAACAGTGGAGGAAGGTCTGATTCAGTTCAATTGTTTTTAACTATTGCTCTGGAGCGGGGGCTGGGTGTTGAGCAGAAACTTGAAGGTTTTGGGGGGAACTGAGAATTAGCCAGCCCACTGGCCAGAATCTGTAGTCTGCCCCAAACCCAAATTGCTTGTATAATGGCTGAGCCTGGGGCGTCAACCAGATGGACAGAAAGTATATACAGTAACTCAGCCCCTGAGGACAGATATGTTGATTTCAACACATAAAGGGCGAATCTGGTGGGCGGTGGTGGCGCACGCCTTTAATCCCAGCACTTGGGAGGCAGAGGCAGGCAGATCTCTGTGAGTTCGAGGCCAGCCTGGTCTACAAGAGCTAGTTCCAGGACAGGCTCCAAAACTACAGAGAACCCTGTCTGGGGGAAAAAAAGGCGAATCTGGAAAGCTCAATGAAGCCTAGAGAGGGGTTCTGACTACGGAAGCCCTGGCTGTCCCAGGTGTCGCTGACAGTGCGGGGACTAGTCGGTTCACCTAGTAGTGAACTTAATGCAGGAGAAGAACTAAAACATTTAATGACACCTGCAGGTCATCAAAGTGGAGTCCTGCAAGAATGAGTTGTGATGGCACAGAATGTGAACCGCCTCAAACTCCCGCACACATTACAAAGCCTAACGAACCAAACCAGCTTGGTCCGGCTTCAGGAAAAGAATCTTTGTAGGTGCGGCAGGTGCCTGTGGTTACCTGAGAAGGGAAAGAGGTCAAGCTCAAGGCTGGTCTAGGCAACTTAGCTTGGCTGTGTTTACCAGAGCTGGAAAAAAGACAAAAGACTTTGGGAAGAGCCCCTGAGTACTGTGTGCAGCAAGAGCCGCTCAGTCTCCTGCACAAAAACAGAAAGAGACCAGAGCAAGGCAGTTCAGAGGTAAGGGCGCTGGCTGCCAAACGCGACACCTAAGTTCAGCACCCAGGAAGTTGTTCTCCGCCTGACCTCTGCAAGAATGCATGGCACACGTGTCCCCCACCCCCACAAGACTTAATACATAGCTTTGCTTTGCTAGGATAAACTTACAAGCTGATAGCCGCACCACGACTTGAATTGTATGGTGATGCACACGGACATGGGCCTGCTATGGCCGTCTCCTTCAGCTACTGTGCACTTCAGCTGACTTTGTGCAGAGGTGTTAAAAGCTGTCCTGGCCAGCAATCTTCAGTACATAAAACCCAGGTCAGCCTCAGCTACACGGGTTGGGGGCAGTGGGCTATCCTTGAAAAGCCTGTCCTGGCACTAGCTCTTGTAGACCAGGTTGGCCTTGAACTCGTGGAGATCCACCTGCCTCTGCCTCCTGAGTGCTGAGATTACAGGTGTGCGCTAACTGCCACATACTATCTAATGATTGAGTAGTATCTACAAGCCATGTGCACACCAGGCTAAGCCATGACCAAGGTGGAACACGAACACGTGTGTAGATGACAGCGGTATACCACAATGTCAAAGAGGTTAGACACCCCTGACAGTGATGTCTAAAAGATGATGCCAGGGCTGGAGAGATGGCTCAGAGGTTAGGAGCACTGACTGTTCTTCCAGAGGTCCTGAGTTCAATTCTCAGCAACCACATGGTGGTTCACAGCCATCTGTAATGAAATCTGGTGCCCTCTTCTGGCCTGCAAGTATACATGGAAGGAATGTTGTATACATAATAAATAAATCTTTAAAAAAAAGGTGATGCTAACATGGTTCCCATATCTTTCTACAAAGAAAGTGACATCCCCCATCCCCCCCCCCAAAAAAAAGTCAGGCGTAGCGACCAGACACTTTGGTGGCAGAGCAGGTGCATCTCTGAGTTTGAAGCCAGTCTGATCTACATAGTCAGTTCTAGACCAGCCAGAGCAACATGGTTAAGACCCTGTTTCAAACAAACAACCTTATTGCTGATGAAAAGCATTACCTTTGGGGCTTGGTTTTTGTCCTCCAGTGACTTATTTATTGTGGATACCTCCAAGCACTATAAACTGTATTTCTCTCCCTTCCATAATGGCAGAGGCGGTGATCGACTCTCAGAAGCATTTAACATTCACTACAAGGAGACACACTCAACCCTTTCTCTCCAAAAGATCCTAGACGGAAGTTTTCCACTCTGCTCAACCATACAATCAGTGTACAGCCGACACTACAATTTCCTCCAACCCCCCAAAGCTCCTCTCTCCACAGTGCTCCCTGGCAGATATTGCCTTACACTCACTGCCCTGCTCTTTGGATCAAAATTTCTGAAAAATGGTATCCAGAGCAGGGTTTCTCCACCTACGGGTCGCCCCTTCACAGGGGCATAGCAAAACTACAGCTAATTGTTTTCCTTGTGGGGTCAGCACAACATGAGGAAGGCTGAGATCCACTGATCCGGGACAGTCATTGCATTCAATTATATCTTCTAAACAAATTTCACTTCCATCGTCCCCCACACTGCCATCCTCAAGCCGGGCAACAGTGGTACATGTTTTTAATCCCAGCACTTGGGAGGCAGAGGCACAGAGTTCTGGACTAGCCTGGTTACAGAGCAAGCAGCTTCATGATTTCATAACATGTTTCTTTTCTTCACTTGTTGAGACAGTGTATCGCTGGCCTTCAACTCACTCAAACCCTGTCTCAGCCTCTTCCAGTGGACCTCAGAAAGGTTTTGTTGCTTTTGGCAGGCGGGTTTTTGGATTAAGGGTTCCTGGGTGCTTGCCTAGCACCGCAGCACCAAGCTCCTCCTTCCAAGCCTTTAGTCCCCGAGCGAGCATCAGTTAATGGTTCTCCTCTTCCTCCTCTTCCTCCTCCTCCTCCTGGCTTTCTTCCCCTGAACTCGCCTGAACCCTTTCTCAGCCGGCATTCACTGCCTTCTTACAGAGTTACAAAGCTTACTGACTTCTGCCTCTCCAGTGAAGATCAGCTCAGTGGTGGCTGGGATGTCTGTCTCCCACATTAGTGCAGCTGTGCAGGGCATGCAGAAGATCTGCCAGTGTTGCATCAACAGATCCGAGAAACCTCTGGCATTTTTATGGTCACCTGTCAGTGTCTCCTTTTTGGCTGAGTGTACCAGAAAGTCTCTCCAAGTTGAATGCTGACTGTGGATCAATCTAAGCTGAAATATAGTAAGCAAAGAATGCAGGCTGGCATTTCCTGTCACTAGAGTTCAGAACGTTAATTGCAACACATACACCTTAGATGGGTGTGAGAGGAGCGGGATACCCATAAAGTATTCAAACAGTCTCACTGGGCAAAAGAAAGAGATGAGAGAATATTAAGTCCTTTATATAGATCGCCGCATATCTCCTCTCCCTTCCTCCACCCTGATCCAGCAGCAATGAGAATCAACACAACGGAGCACCGGCAGAGATGTGCCTTGGGACAAGGGTCAAGGCCTCTCGGAACCCTCGGTTCTCCCACAAGGCTATCTGTAAAGAACTGAGACGCAGAAACGCGTCGGATCCGCTTGACAATTCGAAATGGAGAATGCTGGAGATAGCTAAGCGCAAGCATGACAGGGGCGGCGGGCCAACATCAATGCGACCGTCTTGGGCGTCTCGCTGCCTGTCGCCTGCACGGCCTCGGCCGTCCCAGTGAACGTCCGAGACTGTACGGCCCTCCCCTGGCAGCCGGGCATGCATGCCCCGGGCCTGTCCCCAAGGCGCCTCCGCAGCACTCACCTGCGCCTGCATGTTCATTGCGGTCCGCACAGGACGGGAAGCAAAGGAAGAGAACAGGGGGGACGGCGCCCCGGGACCTGCGTCCTCTCACGGGCTCGTGAGACGCAGCCCGAGCGACAAAGGGGCCAGCAACCCGGCCACCTGCCACACCCGCCACTTTTGAATTTCAAACCGCCGCGCCGTGGACTCACCGCTCAGTCCGAAGGGGCCAATCCGCGCCGGCGACACGGCCGTGAACCAATCACAGCGCCCTCCGCCTGCGGGGCTCCGCCCTCTCGGCGGTTCTAGTTCCCGTCACCTCGGCGCCGGAGAACGGGACCCTGGGATTCCACTTCCGTATCTGCTTTTCCTGGCCCCTCCCCTTCTGGACGCGGAGCGCGCTGCACTTCCGCTGGGTTACGTCAGACGAGCGCGTGTGTGGAGGAGTCCGGTAGGGGAGGGGTCTGCGGGGACGGACGGCAACGCGCAAGTGCAAAGGCGCCCCCCGCAGCGCCGGGGAGGAGCGAGCGCCACCCAGCGGACTGTGCGGGAAATGCATTCCTCATCGCCTACCCTCTGGACCCGAAACGCTGCAGCCGGGTCGCTCAGGTCCGAAAAGCGGGAGCTGCTTTGATGGCGCCAGCTTGTCTCCGAAGAAAAAAGTGGAGGTCTGGCGGTATGACAACAGGTGTAGCGTTTCCCTAGAGTGCTGAGACCCTGAGTTCAATCGCCAGCGTACGAGAAAAGGAATAAGAGAAAGGAGGTGGGAGAAAGCACGAGAAGGCAAGCAATCAGAATACGAGACTCTTGCAGTGTGTTCTCAAATATCATGCATTATGGTCGTAAACCTGGCGGTGGTGGCGCACGCCTTTAATCCCAGCACTCGGGAGGCAGAGGCAGGCAGATCTCTGTGAGTTCGAGACCAGCCTGGTCTACAGAGCTAGTTCCAGGACAGGCTCCAAAGCCACAGAGAAATCCTGTCTCGAAAAAACAAAAAAGGGAGCTGGAGAGATGGCTCAGAGGTTAAGAGCATTGCCTGCTCTTCCAAAGGTCCTGAGTTCAATTCCTCAGAGGTTAAGAGCATTGCCCGCTCTTCCAAAGGTCCTGAGTTCAATTCCCAGCAACCACATGGTGGCTCACAACCATCTGTAAGGGGGTCTGGTGCCCTCTTCTGGCCTGCAGTCATACACACAGACAGATATTGTATACATAATAAATGAATAAATAAATAAACATTTAAAAAGAAAAAAAGATGAGTTCGAGACCAGCCTGGTCTACAGAGCTAGTTAGTTCCAGGACAGGCTCCAAAGCCACAGAGAAACCCTGTCTCGAAAAACCAAAAAAAAAAAAAAAAAAAGAAACATACTGTTTATTTATCTGAGAAAGGCGCTCTCTCTCTCTCTCTCTCTCTCTCTCTCTCTCTCCAGAGAGCCCTGGCTGTCTTGAAATTCACTATGTGGACCAGATTGGCTTTACAGAGATCTGCTCAGCCTCCTGAGTGCTGGGATTAAAGGCGTGCACCACCACCACCAGGTCTGAATTTGTCTTTTATTGAAACCTGCTTTTTGAGTTTATCTTTCTTAGCATGAAGCCTGACAGCAAGGTAAATGTGCTGGTGAGTTTTTCCATATGCAATGGGCTGACCTGGCAGCTGCAGCCTTTGGGGAGGGGCTGGCTCAGGTGGGCTTGCTGCCACTAAATTGTCCACTGACACTAGAGCTCCCCTGTCGACGCAGTCACAGGTGTCCGAGAAGGATACATTAGAAAAGGAAGTATAAACCAAATGGCCTCTGTATCAGTTCGAATGAGAGAGGCTTACCCACAGCTAGCCTGCGATCCTCCACAGTGAATCATCTCTGGACGGTTTGTCGGGGCAGAGGTCAGCCTTCAGCTGTCACACTGGGCAGCATCGGCCTTTGGCAGCCGGACCAAGAAGGGCTAAGAGACTTTTCTGTGGAGGAGGAACTTAGGAGAACTAACCCATCTTGGTGAGGCCGAGTAGGACAGTCAACCCAACAGTCTCCTTAGTTTGACCAGGGCCCTGCTAGCAGGAAAGGAAAGGGGCAGTTCTTTGCCCAGCGGTCAGTGTTCCTACACCTGAAGCTTGCTCCAGGTGAAGTCATTTGCTGCTCATCTTCTTTGGAAACTGCCTCAGCTGCTTGCTACCAGAAACGGGTATTTTGTCTACAAGGGAATGCCCTTTGCTTTAAACATCTTAAATGCACATCCAGAAGATTTCTCTGAGGGGTTTGAAGGCTGTCATCTAGCCTATTAAGTGTACCTGATTTATTCATTTATTTATTTATCTTTGAGACATGGATTCTCTGCATACTCCCAGCTGTCCTGGTACTCAGAGTAGACCAGACTGGCCTTGAACTCACAGAGATCCGCCTGCCCCGTCTCCCGAGTGCTGGGATTAAAGGCGTGCGCCACCACTGCCCAGTCCAATTTTTAAAGTTTAACAAAGTTAGCAAAGACAAAGAGGCTAGGCATACAATTTCAAGTCAGTTTTTGCTAGCCAGAACGGAACTTAGGAATTCATAAACTGTACTTGTTCTTATCTAAAAACAATATCAGCAGCCTGATGTTGAACAGTTAGGAAAGGCGTAAGTGGTTAGACCCACACCTCTAAGTCAGTTTCTGTAGCTGAGTAGACCTGTGTAACCTTGGAAATTTATAAACATAAACCTTTGTTTGTTTGTTTTATACACACACACACATATATTTATGTAGGGGTGTCCTGCACGTACACCTTCAGACCAGAAGAGGGCACCAGATCCCATTTACAGATGGCTGTGAGCCACCATGTGGTTGCTGGGAATTGAACTCAGGACCTCTGGAAGAGCAGCCAGTGCTCTTAACCTTGGAGCCATCTCCCCAGCCCCACATACATTGTTTTTAAGTCATATTTTTCATAAATCTTGCTCATGCTTTTGCCCTCATCTGTGTTTTGTTTTGTCTTTTTCCTCTCAGGACAAAGGTCATCATACAAAAATCCATCCTAATCCAAAACATTTTGGAGACTTATTTGGAGACTTGCTGTAGACCCCCTAGTCTAAAAAGTAGCTGCAATGATAAACATGGCTCGGCAGGACTGAGACGTCTATGGCCCTGTCTCAGTTGGTTTGTACTACACCAGCAAGCCAGGACAGGCTCCAAAGCTACAGAGAAACCCTGTTGCGAAAAACAAGAAAAGCAAAACAAACAACAAATTGTATTTTCCTAAACAAGAGTGAAAACCAAGTTGCATATGAGCATACTGTATATTTTTAACTATCATCCCTCTGTTACAAGTTTAAGCCATATTTGTTACAGATTTTAAACATACCCAGTGAACTTACAAATTCTGAGATACAGAAACTTTATACAATGGTCTTACAAATCTTGAGCTAAAGTTACACTATAGCAAAAATTTCAGAGATGTTAGAGAAGGGGTACCCTAGATAGTTAGAAAAAAAAAAGCAGAAAAGGAGTGTGGGAGGAACGGTCCTGATCTCTATTGGGAGCGGTTTATATTTTACCTGTTTGGTTTTGTTGTTTTTGAGACGGGGGTTTCTCAATGTAGCCTTGACTGTCCTGGAACTCGCTCTGTAGACCAGGCTGGCCTCGAACTCACAGAGATCCGCCTGCCTCTGCCTCGTGAGTGCTGAGATTAAAGGTGTGTGCCACCACCAGCAGGCAGACAGTGGTCAGAGGGAGGGCCTAGAGCAAGCGGAGAGCAGGAAGGCTCAGAGATGTACGCGAGAGTTTGTGAGTGGAGAGTAGGGGAAGTTTGGTGGTGAGGCTCTGGGGGCCGCCTGTTTGTACCGTGGTAGAGGTTGTCAGATCTATGAGGAGTTGGAAATTGTGGGTGCCATCTTTGGCCACCAAGCTGCACCGAGGCCAAGCGGTGAAACAGTGAGGCTTTAAAGAAAGCCGAGTCTGAGGAGAGAGATGAGGAGGCTCCAGCAGGAAGAAGAGGGGCAGTGCAAGCTGCAGGGACAAGCTGAGGGATGGGCGGGGAGGGAGCCGAGAGAGAGACTTTAGGAAAGGCGGTTGCAGGTGGGCAGGGAGAGCAAGGATGGAAGAAAGAGGGGTCCTGGTAGCAAGAATTTCAATCCTGGGTGTCCCCAAGTGGACTGAGAGATTTGTCATCGAGAAATGTCCCAAATCACAAAGGAGGTGCCCCTTCCTATGTGATAGGTGCTCAGTGGGGTGAGAGAAGCTACCTGGCTCCCGGAGCCAGCAGACAGCTCCAAGGTGACATCTACCTGACAATCATGCCAGAGCAGTCAGAACAAAGAAGTCACTGAAGAGGCAGACTCTAAAATTCGGACTCAGGGGCTGGAGAGGTGGCTCAGAGGTTAAGAGCACTGACTGCCCTTCAAGAGGTCCTGACTTCAATTCCCAGCAACCACATGGTGGCTCACAACCATCTGTAATGCCCTCTACTGGCACCAGATATATATATATAGGGAGAATACTGTATACATAATAAATAAATCTTTTTGTTTGTTTGTTTGTTTTTGTTTTTTTGAGACAGGGTTTCTCTGTGGCTTTGGAGCCTGTCCTGGAACTAGCTCTGTAGACCAGGCTGGTCTCGAACTCACAGAGATCTGCCTGCCTCTGCCTCCCGAGTGCTGGGATTAAAGGCATGCACCACCATCGCCCGGCCATAATAAATAAATCTTAAAAAAAAATTCAGACCACAGATATGGTAGGTGGGTGACAAAACCCAGCAGGAACAAATGACCCACACCTAGGGACAGCCACAACAGCACCTTGGTTCAGTTCGGATCATCCAGGTCCCCAGGAAAGAGGTCCCTTTGTGTCCTTCCCAGCTGTTCAGCACCAAATGTGTTAACTGACGACGACATGATCACTCCATAGCACGGGAAGGGTTTTATTACAGACAGAGAAACCAGCCATACAAAGTCTGGGACAGAGAGGGAAAGGGAGAAAAGTGGACTGATCTTGGCCAGCAGACAGGACACGACCAGGCCTGTCGGTGAGAGACGGGAGAGGATCAGTGGACACAGACTAGAGAAAGCAGCAAGAGCAGCAGGCACATGCCGAGAACAGCTGGGTCGCAAGGAAAAAGAGCAGGATGCACAACTGGGGGAGGGAGAGTTTAAAGTGGGGTACTCTAGTGTGGACTTTTTTCTTCAGTTTGTCTTTATGTAGATTGTATGAAGGTATCAGATCC